AGGGAAGTCTACGTGTTAGTATCACCTCCCCGCAGGTGTTGACAACCGCCACTACCGCTACCCGTGCTTAAGCGCTTGTTACCCCACCCCCCACCTCAACCGTTTAGACCGTTGCCGGGGAAGGTGCCTCACTCCTTACCTCAGACGACTCCGATGCATATGCGGATACAAGGTGTGTGTACGCATGGGGCAAACACACACACACAAACCCCACACACATTTATCCTGAGAGATTATTAAATGAATATTCAAACTGGAACTGTCGTAAAAACGTGTGTAAATGTACAAATGTACTGTGCACCCCCAACACCCTTTCCAAATAAGCTGTATCCACCCCTGCGGTGCCTGCGCCATACGGTCAGCAGTCACTGGATGTTTCGGTGATATTGTTAGTAGGACAGTCAGGTACTACAGCGCCAACGCAAACGGTGCCAGCGCCTTCTGCATCAGCACCGGTGCCGTTTTCTACACCGTCACTGTTTCGGCCATTGTGCTTTGTGCCACCGTCGCATATTGCCCCTTTTTTGACGATGGGGTAGCCTAGTCAGTGGTTAAAAGGTTCCCGAAGACACAGGTTCGATTGCCCACACGGGTACACAGTATGTGAAGCCTGTTTCAGGTGTCAGATGAATATTGCCAAAAGAGGCGTAAAACTAAACTCACTCGCCTATTGCTTCTACCTCGTCGACAGGTGGACACAGATATCGCCCTTGGAGCAAGTCGTCTAAGGCGTCTTCTCTCCGTAGTCGTTCCCCTCTTCTCTCAAGAAGATCACCCTCTTCCAACCTTTCCCTAAAGCTTATAACGCTTTAGAAATCGTGTGGTCTTTTCCGTTTAAGCCTTCATGTCTTATCTGCGAATTACCTCTGACAGATCATCACTCGCTGTCTGGTCTTTTTCCAGGGGCAATGACGGTCCAACGCCGAATTGCATTGACTAAGCTGGTTTTGTTTAATTAGCGTAGCAATCCCCGCAAATGACACGCCCTCCGTCCTGCCTGTCCGGTAAAAATGCAGGAAGTAAGCAGTGCAGGATTAGATAAAAATTAGTAAAATAATTTCTGGGATTTGCGGGAATAATCCGGGGTGGGTGACGTCACCTTCCGGCGATGCGTGACGAGACGAATGATCGTCTGAGACCAGGACGTTGTCGCAGTGTTACGTTCCAACACCGCCTGGTAAGTCTGGTCACTGGTATTGGATCTGTGTTTAAATGTCTGTTATTTACATAACTACTGAATGTCGACATTGCTACATTGTGTAGCCTTACCGCCATTTCGGGTCGGGTTTGGATCGAACCACCCTCAGGGTAAGTGCAATGGGGAAACAACACTAGTTCGGCTACGCAGTTCGCTATTTTGTTTGTTCTGTTTGTAAGCTAACAGGTTGTCCTTCCTCAAGAGATTGGTCAATGTGAATCTGTGTATATATACTAGGAGTCATTAACAAAGGGTCAAATGAGATATAGTACATACATGTAAAGAAAAGTTTCTCAGAAATAATAGAACTAAGAATTTCATCATAATGTTTAGTGTGTTGACAAACGTGACACATTGTGACATCAGTTGTGTAGACCAACCCCAAAAATGAAAATGGCAAACATGAAGCACTCGGCCATTCAATATCGTGTGTACCCTCCTCGTGTGTCCTCCTTATCCAAATCTTGATTTTCGTGAGCCTTACACCAGTTTAGACGTCTTTGTTTTTGTGCATCTTCCATCAATCATGAGGGAATTCCGCGCTTTTTCACCCAGTTAAATCTTTGTAACTCTTGTCTAAAGGTTTCATTACATACCGGAGGGCTTCCTCTATTAATCATCTCATTTCTCATATTCTCAACGCATTTCAATTTTCCGCACACACACACAAACAAACAAACAAACACAAAAGCACGTTTTTTAGATTGTAATTAAAACATTTTACTTTTATCTATTTGTCCACATTGGGTATTTATTCATTTATATATTATCTGGTTAACTGACGAAAGTATTCAACACCTTGTACTGCGAATGTTGGGGTATTTTCATTCATATGTTGAATCGGATAAATATACAAGGTTGTACCGAAACGCGCCAGCAACCCAATGCTTAACATGTATGTAGATGTAGATCACTTTTAAAGGAAATGTCTGGAACGGTTTCTGGACACGAAAATCCACAAAGGCACACAAGGAGGAGCCATCTGATAAAATTCATTTCCGTTTTCGACGTCAGAAGAGAACCAATCATAATCTCGTTACATACGCGTACGAGTCACTGGAATAGGACGGTTTCATTGATGAACTACAATTTGTATTCATCGTTTTAATTTATAGAAGGCACATGATACAACATTGAAATGTGACATCTTAAAATGAACAGATTCTACGTGGTTGAAAGATAGAAACTTCAAATGGGCTCTATATTTCCTCAGATCAAGAACATTTTATACACATTTTTAGCATAAAACAGCCTTGATGAAGCTTGTATGAAGATATCAATGGCTCTTGATTTGTAGATAACTTAAAATCTAGAATGCCGTGGTGCTTGTTTTATCGCTACTGAGGGGCAGTTGCATATTTATCTGAATAAAATATATTAATGGTCTACATAAAGCGATTTACGTTTTCTGAACCAAAAATGTGCTACGTTCAATTTTCCATCAAACAGTAACCAGAAATGAATTTAGGTATTATTTCAATGAAAACAGGTGGAGGGACAATGTAAGTATTTATCAAACCTGATCAAAAGTTATCTTATATTCTTCACATTAAATGCCCTTGAGCTATATGTTTGGAAGCCCTTGATGTGTAGTATCGAATGCGAATTGGGACAGAGATAGAGAAACGCTGCTTCATCTCTACATAACTTTGATTAGGAGTAAGACTGAATATTGTAGCTTCATTTACGACTATTTATGTAAATCATACATTCGGTAATTTCACGCCTTTTAAGGTCATCCTTAGGGATTTCGGTTGTACCCGGAGATGTGTGGGCATCTTGCAAAGGCATTTTGAATGAGGAGACAAATACCTTAATTTAAAACGAATAATACTATCATAAAGGTATATCACTAAACTTCGCTCCTCTATGTTATCCCACATTTAACAACATGCACGTCTCTCCTCCAACTAGCGTGCGCATGGCTGAACCCTAAACTCAGTTCTACCACTCACGTGCATTCCCATATCAAATATGAATATTTAAATCCTTCTGTTCTTTTCCGAATACAGAACTAACGAAATACCTTTTCGTAAATCTACCCAATCTGGAACTAGCGTTACTAAAGACGTCTGAAACTAATCTGTTATTTATATCGCCAATAATTTGATGAAATGAAGACCAAATATCCCTCTTACACATGTATTTACACAGATGGATTAAAAGATGGTGACACGGCATCACTTCCAGCAGTTACTGAAACTTAGTGTACTGTGTACATATAGTTAACTCAGGGAAAGCTCGATATTTATGGCAAATGATCAAATGTTATTAACTGAAAAGTCCTTCATGGGCAGTCTTATCGTATTTTTGTATACTTTATCCTGTTTAATCGAAAAAAGGAAAACTGGATCACTCATTCTGAGCAGTAATCTTAAGGTATCATTCAGCTTGTAAAATAATTAATGTTGTGCTGGCATCAGCTATGAAAGTCAATACCCAAAAGTCAGGAAGAAGTCGTTTCTGTCATAGAACATAACTCTTAATTTCACCTTTGAATGAATATTTGACTGAGACTTAAGAGGTTTTCAACAACACTTTTATTCTGTTTGTTACAATCTCATATCAAAATTTATTGAATAGTTGCCAAATTGCCGATGCTTCGTGATAGTCACTCACTTGTGTTGATATTATCTGATGATGAATGTGCAGCTTGTGATTGGTACATCAGGAGTTGATATATTATACGTCTGTTCTGAGAAAGTCATGGAAGTTGCACATCGACCAGCAGCACAGATTACGTGTAAGGATACTGAATATAATACATATGGATATAAGCTGTGTTAATCTCTGAACTGTTGAGTATTTACATTTCAATAGAAATGTTATGTTACCTTATCCATGTGATTTAATGTCTGTAATTGTGCATTACACTCTGTGACGTTCTGTGCACTTCAAGTTGTCATGGTCCCTATAGTCTGTTTGCAGTGAAAACGTACCGATGAATTTCACTTAAAACAAAAAAGTAAATCGAATACAGTGAAGTTAAGGTTGCGAATCCTCATAATTTTACCTTGCCAATTGAACATTTAAATCTCAGAATGATATTCAGCTTAGGTAAAAGTTGTTTAACAAACGATCATAGTTTCAAATCTCTATTGTCGGTTGTATTACAAGGGGGTATGAACATTAAATGAAACACCGAGAACATGTAGGTTTGGTCGAAGTTAACGCTCATCACGTACCGCACGTGCATTTGTTTCACTGTTCCAACTACTGCGCTTACTCCCTTGTAATACAAACCAATAATATCGATTTGAAACTATGATCGTTTGTTAAACGTTTATTCTAAGTTGAATTAAATTCTGAGATTTATATGTTCAGTTGGCAAGGTAAAATTATGAGGATTCGCAATCTTAATTTCATTTTATTTGATTTACTTTTTGTTTAAAGTGAAATTGATTGGTACGTTTTCACTGCAAACCGACTATAAATGTGGTGATCTCCCATCAGTTACTGGCGATCTGTAACCCTTTTCTATATTGTATTGTCTTCAAGATTGAAGTGACTTTAGGGTTACATGCTGGTTTTAATGTGTGTGTGATATTCTTATCGTTGTATTGTCGCGTGTGGATAGATTTATAATCTGTAACTTTTTATGCTTCATGAATTTATAGCTTGTTTTAGTAACAATGTGGACGAAATACTATCTATGTGACTTCAACTGACTGTAAATTTTTATGTAAGATTTTTTACAACTTATTAAAAGGTAGTTCACCATCACCCTTATAACCCTTGTGCAGTCAGTGTTGGGTGTTCCATTCAATGTTTTATACATGTCTAGCATGTCTTAATACAATAGCGAAATCAGCATTCAGCCTGCATTACCTTTTTGAATAATGGTACAGGCACACTGTGACATGTTAAAACAAATTCGGATTTATAGAAACATATGTCTTTCCTAAAGTCTCCCATGTAGAAAAATTTTCCCTGGTTTCTCACACGTACGTTTCCAAGGGCTTCAATACATAAGCCAAAATACGCGTCTTCAAACTTCAAGAACGGCACATGGCGTGATATGTTATATATGCGTTTTGCAACGGCCATGCTTGTAACGTAGCCACTCCCAGAACAATATTGTTTGTAATATGGCAAGGGATATTCGTTGTAAGTGATGTACCACCTTGATCTCTTGTCCCTTATCGGTTGTCCAAGTCCACATCTTCCTAATACACCTGATTGCAAAAATAGCTGATTCCGATTGACCAGTTGTAAGATTTCGGGCACATTCACCCACATGTCATCATCTGTTTTCAGGACAAATTTGGCATTGTCACAAAATGAGGAGGCCCATTTCAAACCCATGATTGTTTTGTACGTCAGGTTGTGATACGAGTCTCTGAAGTCCTCCATCAGCATGTCCTTGTAATGCAATGCCTCAAGCTTTACGTTTTCCATTAACTCATAACGTGGAACTTCACCTAGTAAGAAGACGTAGCGAACATTTCCAGTATTGTTCCTGGAGATTGCAGCCCACGTTGCCCGTATGACATTCCTTCTGTATATATTGTTGTGCCTCGTCATGATGAGTATAATAAGGTCAAGTGCATTCTTGTTTGTCTCGCTACATATATCTTCATTCTGTATGAGATACACGAAGTCGTGTCTGAAACAGTTGGTACACGTATGTGGCCGAACGTGCCAGCCATTTGCTGAAATGTGTTTCTTTGTTAACACTTCTGCAATCATCGAGTGTGATTTTGTTAAGTCCGTACTGTTAATAGGATGTGATTGTGTTAAATCCGCACTGTTGATAGGATGTGATTTTGTTAACTCCGCACTGTTGATAGGATGTGATTGTGTTAACTCCGCACTGTTGATAGGATGTGATTGTGTTAACTCCTCACTGTTGATAGGATGTGATTTTATTAACTCCGTACTGTTGATAGGATGTGTCTTTGTTAACTCCTCAGTGATAACTGGGTGTGATTTTCTTAACACATCCGTGACGATATTCTGCGAAAGGCCAACAGCACCAGTATGTTGGCTTTCGTTCTCTGGTTCAGATAAGACATGGTCGTCTTCGCTGCTGTAGGCATTTTGAAAACGCCTGCTGTTTATGCTCACAAATCTTACATGTGTTGGATATTTTCTCGTGGTATGATTGTTCTTCAAAAACGCATACCATATGTTAAAAGACATAACGGTTGTTATCAGACATATGAAATACACAACATGTTTCAGCCGCATCGTTATCATTGTATTCCATGTCATCGCTTCTTGCCACGGGTTCCTCCGCTGTACCTGTAATAGAAAAACATTATGTTCGGCTATTCAAAAAACAATATCTTATTGATTTCTGCAATGCAGCTTTTCTGTTAGTCTGTCACACAGACCCTGAAGAAAATATACCCAAGAAAGCCCACGCATGTCTAGAAAATGTGGCAAGTCTAGATTTCCACAGCTTCAGGGAAGAAAGTCTCTGGGCTCCTTTTTATTGCATTTATGATTTTAATGTAAAAGCTTTTATTTTTCTGTAAAATATGTTCATTTCAGAGACTAGCTGTTAGTCTACTTTTCTGTTACCGACATGTTATGAGATTTTAAGACATTTTAACAAAATCCTTGGTAAAAACCTTTGGTACTGTCACTAATTCATATCCATGTACCTCACCCTTGATATCAGTTTCAGCTTATTCTCAAAAGAAACGACCACCGTTGGTTTACAAATATATCAAAATACAAAGAACTATCCTCACAACAGGTGACAGATTCCTATTGGTTTACATGAGGATACGATAAATTTAAAATTGGTATCTCGTGTATGCCACTCTGGAGAAGGTGGTGTTTCACCTATTAAAATTGTTTGAGCATACACTTTTTTTGCTATATTTCTTTGTAGTGTCTGGATAGAGGCACAATCATGTGCGCGTCTCACTTCGAGCCTGCAATCACATACTCACATACGTGGAACAACGTGGAACAACTAGATCCACTAGATTAACTAGATGAAAACAAACTTGTCCCTGAAAGCGAGAGATGCTATAGGTGAAAATATTGCTTACAACTTTTATAGTTTGGTTTCAAGAAACAGTTTTTGAAAAGGTCGCTAATAACGTGGTAGTGAACAGTAATTCAGTTATATTACTGCCTGTATGCAATCGGCACCACTCGTCCCTTTCCGTAACATACAAGAACACTCGACGACGACGAAGATGATGATGATGATGATGATGACGGTGATGATTTAGAGATTTTACGTGCGCTTTCCGACATGTTGCGTAATTCTCACACGGGTCTGACAGATCATTTAGTGTTTGATCGAAAGAGTGGCTGACCTAAAAATATGGCATTATTAGCGGGTCATTTTGGTTGCATAATTAAGTTTGGTCTAAATATTTATTTTAGGAATTTGCCAGAAGTAGTAGGGGGCTAAAGTACGGGGTGGTTTGGCTGGTATTTGTTTTGTTTTGGATTTATGGTCTTGTTTGGGGGCTTTTAGGCCTAAGACTTTGAAGCTTTGGATGTTATTAGTGGGCGTAGGAATGTTTGTAGTGTTAGGTGTGTGTTAGTGTCCAATGAACTCTGGATCACCACAGGAACACTCGTCCCCCTAGCGATACGGCAAACCAATCAGAATGTGCGTCAGTTTACATATAGATAACAGAATTACGTTGCATGAATATAAGTTGTAAATAGAGACATGGCCATGCACTGTGAGAAACTGAAATCCACACATACGCCATGTTTCTCTAAATATTGAGTATTGTAGCACAATAACAGAAACGATCTAGGTTTTCAGCAATGTGTTTAATTAGTACTACACTCGTACTAACAGTGATCAAAAGAGCGTGGCTGAGACTGCCCCTCGGGTAGCCGTGTCCAGCGTCGGATAGATGCTCCTTATGGCGGGAGTTGGTTGAAGTTCCCCTTCTGGGTCTGAGTCCTTCGATGTAGGAGTCCCTCGAGTGGCGCAGAGGATAGGGTTCCTCAGTCGGCGCGACCTGCACCCCTAGCGTCAACTGGCGCCATCTCAAACTCGGTTGTAGCCGAGACACTCCTGATACTCCTACCTCGTTTTGCTAGTCGGGGTCTAACGAATGTTATATACAGGAAAATCCTCACAAGTGTCACTGCAATTAAGATTATCAATTTGGCATCTCATTATCTGGTATCTAAGAATATACAATCATCTGCATAGATATGAATACCATTAGTCCGGACAGCGCTAACACGAACCAACCATTACCTGAAACAGCGGTTTTACAAGTTTACTATTGTTGGTATGTGCGTTTTAGGTAGAGGCCCTAGTACGTCTCAGTTCACCGTACACTATCTACATGTCTTCTCTGTCTCTACCCTACAGCATTCATGTTACCATGTCAATATGCTCCCGCCGCTATCTGCGATCAAATAGTGTTTACTGGCAAGATTTTCCCATTCAAATCTTTGTTACCATGTCATAAGTGTTTTTGTTACCATGTGTTGCGGTTAAATAATTGCCGTGACAAAAGGTTTAAGAATCCCCTTTGAACCAGCAAAATATAACACAGACAAGTCAAAAATATTCAATAATATATTGAGCAAACAATGAGCAAGCTACAATGAATCACAATACAGATTTCTAATACAATGCAATTGAGTCACAAATCTAAAGTTATGGGTCACATATATAAAATATTAACACACCAGAGTCTTGGTAATCACAGTGAGATCAGATATTATAAATGGCGCATGTTTACAAATGAAAGCAGTCAGGCATGAAGTGACAGGGTCAGGCGATGGCGATGTGACGAAGGACGAAAGCCGAGGCAAACAACGATGGGCAACTCCAGTGATATGGAAAGTCCCGTGTAATTCCGTGTGTTAGTCCGTGTGTCAGTCCTTGCCTGTCGCACAACGCAACAGCCAGCCTTTATAAATACTGACACAGATTCTCGAACTTTCCAGCAAAGCATGGCTGTATCGTTAAATGCTTAGATCTTTCTCGAAACGTGTTGAACATACGACATGACGATGTCAACACACAGACATCCGGTCAAGGGAGGTATTTCTGGAGCGCTATCACAAAGGCGTGCCGCTAAAATACTGTTGCCACTGAACATATATGACTCAAAATGTGACCCACAACCATCACTCAAAACTTTAAACATTGTGGCTCATAATTATTATCACCTAAGCAATGTTATTACATATTACAAAAAACACACTCTCGTAACACCATGTCAGTACGCCTCTGTCGCTATCTACGACCAAATACTGATCATTGGGAATTAGATACTTCCTATCACAGTCACTGCTACTCTTAAACAAATAGTCATACAGTACAACCAGAAATAATTGAGAATTTAAAGATTGTATTTTTTTTTCACTCATTACTCACGTATTAAATGTGAATATTAGCAGAACATAACTCAAGATTCAAAGACAGGTGAACAGTTTGTTTGTATTTTGTCAAGTCACCATGGGCAGCAATGCAGGCTTCAATGCAGCGGGGCATACTACTAATCAAAGAAGTTAGAAAGTCGTGGCCCATGCTGTCCCAATATCAGACCACCTCTTCTTTCATTGACACTTTCCTTCATAAGTCCCCAAACATTTTCTATTGGATTAAGGTCAGGGGGTTAGGTTGGCCAATCTGATAATGTCATATACTGAGTCAAAAAAGAAAATTCACATTCTTTCTTCAGGGCACTATAAAAGAACAAGAGATGGTAAGATGGTTAAATTGTTATTATTTCATTGCTGAGATCTGTGTGATGTACTCGATACACTGACAGTGCCATAATCAGTTCCATTAGGCTACGCCGCCGTTCCAAAACATGGGTATACAGAATGTCAAGTCACAAGAATAATTCGAAATTTCTCAGTTCAATATCGTGTATGGCCGCCCCGCACATTCACCACTGCCAAACACCGTCTCCTCATCGACTGCTTGATGCTTGTGAACACGTGGTTGGGGATTCTGCGCCATTGCTCTTGCAAGGCAGCGCCAAGTTCCTGCAAATTCTGAGGTTGGTTCCTAAGACCACGAAGCCTTCTCCCAAGTGCACCCCAAACGTGCTCTATTGGATTAAGGTCAGGGGACCTCGATGGCCAGTCCATGACGTTGATTCCAGCGTTTTGAAGGAAATTTCGTGTCAACATCGCGGTATGCGGCCGAGCATTATCATGCTGGAACTGTAGACCTGGGTCATGAGCCGCCATGAAAGGAACGAGTTCAGGGATGAGCACCTGGTCGCCGTAAGCAGCAGCTGTGAGGTTTCCACGGATGACCAGAAGTCGGGAACGGTTGTTCCCACAGAAAGCACCCCACACCATGCAACTTCCGCCCCCGAATCTGTCGACTTCCTGTACACAACATTGGGCATACCGTTCACGACGTCGTCTCCAGACTCTATGCCTGCCGTCCGCGAATCTGAGGGTAAACCTGGATTCATCGCTAAAGACGACTCGATTCCAGTCTCTCTGGGTCCATCGGAGGTGACGTTGGGCCCACAGCAGACGTTGACGTTAATGAAACGGCGTCAACATTGGCCCACGATATGGACGTCGAGAATGGAGATTGGCATCCCGCAACCGATTTCGAATGGTCTGTGAGGACAGTCGACCTCTCAACATCTCAGCCCTGGTTCGTGTAGCCGGCAAAAATCTGTCACGTAGGTGACGTAGGACGATTTGACGGTCTTCTGCCCGTGACGTCACACGTGGACGACCCGACCTTGGGCGATCAGAAGTGGTGCCAGTTTGTTGTAGACGACCTCGCCGGTCATACACAGTACGACGGCTGCATCCCATTGCTCTTGCGACGTCAATAACTGATCTTCCCGCTTGCAACATGCCAACGGCACGTTCACGTTGCACATTTGACAATCGTGGCATTTCAAGTACCGTTAGAACTGTGGTTTAAAAGTGTTTTTTCAATTCTTGAGGCCAATGCAAACACGTGCATGTGAAGAAAACTTCGATGCGAAGATCACGTGATCGACTGCACGTGCAAAACCTGATTTGGCACTAACGTCATTTGCACGACGAATGGATGGGTTTGAGTGAGTTTTGCTAACGTTTTTCGAAAGATAGGGATCCCATTTCGGATACATAGATGTATCATCAGAGAAAAATTATTCATTATTTTTCAAATTACATTTTGTGAAGTTTCTTTTTTGACTCAGTATACTTTGGGTCCGAAACCAGGCCTGTGAATGCTTTGAACGATGTTTTGTTTCGTTGTCCTGCTGGAAATCAAAACAATTCCATAGAACACGTGAGCAGATGGAAGTAAATGTCCCTCGAGAATATCTGTG